TAACTCAGCTTCCTGTAACTCCAACTGCTTTTTCAGCTGCTCACACTCATCTCTTTGTTGTTGGTTGGACATAAAATGGGATTTTTCTTCCTCCAACTGCTGCCGCTGTTCCTCCAGATCTTTCTGCATTTTTTCCATTGCAGCCTTGATTTCACTGGTTTCCTGCACTTGTTGGGCTAAGCAGATCTCAGCCTCCTTTGCATTTGCCGTCTCAGCAAGAACAGCTGCCTCCGTTTTCTGAGGCAAGACAGTGAGATTCTTAATTTGTTCTAATAATTTGGTGTTTTCTTGTTGAAGTGTTGCTACCCTCTCTCTTGTGAACCTTAACTTGAGCTCAGCGTTCCTTAACCATTGAGCTGATAGTTCAGTCTTCTCACTAAGTGCTGCGATCTCCTCATCTTTTAAGCTCATGCAGATCTCAGCTTCCTCCACACTTTGCTTGAGAGCAGTTACCGTGGACTCCAGCTGTCTAGCTTCCTCGTCGGTATATTTTGGCATTGTTTCGTGCTCAGCATGCGTCTTCTGGTTTGTTGATAATTTTATGTTTTCTTGTTTAAGTGCTGCGATCTCCTTATCTTTTGAGCTTATGCAGATAGCAGCTTCCTGCAACCTTTGCTTCAAAGCAGTTGCCGCAGTCTCCAGATGCCAGGCTTTTTCGTTGGCATCTCTACGCACTACCTCCATGTTGTGAAGATCAGCAGCTTGTCTCTGCAAGTAATTTGATAATTTAGCATTTTCTTGTTGAAGTGCGGCGATCTCCTGATCTTTTGAGTTAATACAGAAACCAGCTTCCTGCACCCTTTGCATATTAGCATTTAGCACAGACTCCAGCTGCCAGGCTTTCTCGTTGGCATTTTTACACACTGCCTCCATGTTGTGAAGATCAGCAGCTTGTCTCTGGCAGATTTCTAATAATTTAATATTTTCTTGTTGAAGTGCTGCGATCTTCTCATCTTTAGATTTTAAGTAGATTTCATTTTCCTGGTCCTTTTTTCTTTGAGCAGTTAGCTCAGATTCCAGCTGCCTAGTTTTTTCGTGGGTATTCTGACGCGCTGTCTCCATTTTCTGAGGCAAGGCAACAAAACTTTGGATTGTTGCTGATAACTTGATGTTTTCTTGTTGCAGTGCTGTGATCATCTCATCTTTTGAGCGTAAGTAGGTCTCTGCTTCCTGCACCTTTTTCCTTTCAGCAGTTAGCTCCGACTCCAGCTGCCTAGCTTTCTCATCGGTATATCCAAACCCTGCATCCATTTTCTGAGGCACAGCAACATTTTTCTTAGTTGTTTCTGATAACTTGATGATTTCTTGTTGCAGTGCTGTGATCATCTCATCTTTTGAGCGTAAGTAGGTCTCTGCTTCCTGCACCTTTTTCCTTTCAGCAGTTATCTCCGACTCCAGCTGCCTAGCTTTCTCATCGGTATATCCAAACCCTGCATCCAAAGACACAGCAACATTTTTCTTAATTGTTGCTGATAACTTGATGATTTCTTGTAGCGAAGCTATGATCCTCAAATCTTTTGAGCTTAAACAGATCCCAGCCTTCTGACCCTTTTTCCTTTTAGGAGTTAGCTCAGACTCCAGCTGCCTAGCTTTCTCGTTGGTATGTTGACGAGCTTCCTCTAATTTGTTGAGCTCAGCAGTGAGATCATTGGTATGTTGGGCTAAACTCCTGTTTTGATGTTGAAGTTCTGTGATCATCCAGTCTCTGGAGCTTAAGGCTCTGTGAAACTCAATCTTAGAAATCATATTACGTCCGGTCTTGTTGTAAGCTCCATGTCCTCCATGAACAGCTTTCTCACTTTGGAGTTGTAAAAGTGGATTTCTTCCTGGATTTTCAGGCTTTGCAGCTTTAGCTGGTCCCTCAACACGAGCTGGGGCTGGTTGCAATGGCTTCACCACAGGCTTAGAAGCACAAACTTGACTCAAAGTGGGTCCCGCTGCTATTTTTGGAGCATTTTCTGGCTTTTTCTTACTTGTAAGAACTTGAGCCCAAGTCACATTTCCAGAAGGGTTTGTAGCTGTGCTACCAGATGTAACTCCCATAGTATTACCTGATTTAGATATGGTTGACATGGCGGCTATAACGTTTAATTCACCTGATTTGCAAATGAAAAAGGACGAATTGGTCAATTCCAGCCTTAGTTGCTGATTCAAGTCAGCCTCCTAAGGAAAACAATAAAATTGTTGGTTGGATTAAAACACAAAGCTTTGTTTTAAACTAAAAGCTTCTTTTTCTGATAACCGGGCAGATTTGTTCTGTGGAAAAGTCTTTACTTTTCTAATTACAAGGAGTTAACTCAAGAGATGCACACGTTACAGGAGAATTCCGGAAATTGAATGCTTGGTAGTATTCTGATGTCTGTAATGATGTCATCAGAATTCTAAACTATGTGGGCGGGAACTATAAACTCCGCCCACATAAGTCAAGCCTGGCTGTAGGTTCTACATACTCTGAAAAAATAATTCAACAGTTTTCGGCTTTTCCTTAATCATATTTAGTTACTTTAACTTTTTTATTATTATTTTAGCAGGGTAGGACATAAAACAATTTTTTTTTTTTTACAGTTTCCTCTCTGGCAATGTGGCAATAAGAATAATTGTCTTGATGCCAAAAAGAGCCCAACAGTTAAACTGTTAAAAAAGTTCACACCCATGAGTAGAGGTAATGCAGCCTGATGATATTTACACCGCATCAGATACCGTTCCCCCCATGTTAAGCAGGGGGAACGTTATCTGAAGGGGTTTATAGGCCCATGAGATAGCGTTTCCCCCCCCGATGTCATTTATGTTGAGTTGCAATAAATGCAAAACTCTCTGCAGGTACTTGTCTTTGTCGTCCGCTCTATTCAGCTGGCTTTTGAAACACAAGGAGAGAAGGTGGGGGCTGGGTGGTGAGGGTTACGGGGTCGAGAAATGCAAAAGTAACGGGATAGTTACTTTTACTTGGAACTAGTTACTTTTATTGTGGAGTAACTCAGTTAGTAACTCAGTTACTTTTTGGGAAAAGTAACTAGTAACTATAACTAATAACTTTTTCAAAGTAACGTGCCCGACACTGTTCGTAACATATGGAACAATCAGATCTGTGATATAAGATTAAGCTTGTTTATTTGGGGTTTTGTTTTGTGAGAAGGACAATTTTAAACAGTAAGCCGATTAAGGGAAGCTAAGATAAGATAACTAATACCTCTCTTTTTTATTGTTATCAAAACTGGTCGCATTTTGGATCAGCCTTTTTAGTTGTTGCGATATTCTGTATTTGAAAGAAAACAATTCTAGAAAGCTCTTTGACATGGGTTTTAAATGGGAAGTCCTTATCAAAATTAAAGGGGAACACCGTTTTTTTTTAATTGGGCCCTTGATTTTATGTTATTACACCATGTTCTACTCACCCATATTAGTTTTGTGTCATTTGGAGCTGTTCTGAAGATATTCCATTCATAATGTATTCTTTATGGTAGTGTTAATTTTAGCAGCCATTTTTAAATTTAGTTTTAGTTTTAGTCCAGTTTCAGAATCGCTTTTTAGTTTTTATCATATTTAGTCGACATCATCCCATTTTTATTTAGTCTAGTTTTAGTCGACTATAAGCCAGAGCATTTTAGTCTTTATTTTAGTCCAAGAAAACATAATTTTATTCGTATAGTTTTAGTCAAGAAAAACTGTCAACATTTTATTCTAGTTTTAGTCAGGACATAATTTTATCCTTTTACTTTTTTGTCAGCAGATAATATTTAACATTTCCTAAAATGATTACGCATTTCAACATTTTCTCTCATCTTTTTGATAAAAAAAAAACACAATTTCAAGGAACACATGCAGACATGGAAGATGTTCTAAAAATATTTGCATATTTATTTTGAACATTAAAACAAATAAAATACACCTGACAAAGGAAACAAATAAATTAAATAAAATGTCTTATGAACTTTACACAAGTGCTGGCTGTTTAAAGCTAGTTCACATAGAATAATAAAATAAATAGAATTGAGATCAATGTTGTTTAAAAAAAAAAAAAATCTCCAACTGAGTTTCCTGCCCGCTAGTTCACATGGTATATAAAGGTACAGTATTTAAGGTGAAAAAGGCATAGTTTTCTTGTCCTGAGAGTCAGCTTTGTATTTGGTGTGGGCAATTAAGGAAGCTTGTATAGCTGGCCTGTCATTGTTTCTGGGTGGTTGTTGGTGGTCGGTGTATCTTCAGTCTGGAACAGAAATTAATACAATGTCAGGATAGATGCACAGCATAACAGGAATTCCAAGTGTATAAGTAGCATATAGGTCTGTTTTTTCCTTGACAAAAACTAAGTCTCTGTAAAAACTACATTTGACCATCCATTTCAAACTCATACAAACAACCTAACTATCATTTTAGGCAGAAATAGATTGCAGACATTTTTATGTGTGCATGCATTTTGGTTGTATTAATATTCATGCCAATTCAAATCAAATGTCCTTGTAATTGTAATGTGCAGATAAACAGAGCAGCCTTTTATGTCACCAAATAAAGACATTGGGAGTTTGCGTCCCAATCCCTGCAGTGGTTCCCCTAGCAATGGCTATTTTGTGTATGAAAATCTAGGTTAAAGTTCTTCTGAATTATGTGCGGCATATTATTTTTATTTTGTCTTATCCTGATAAATAGTTTCAGTTCGTTTTATCATTTAGCATTCATGTGTAGCTGCCGAGGTGTTTTGTGTTAACTATAGTTCACTTGCAGCTCCTAGATTACCTAAAACGTCTGTCTGCTTTAATCAAACTTGCAATATAACAGAAACTATAGTTGCCCGGCCAGTATAACATATCTAAGTTAGCATAAATTTAACTTTACATACAGTACATGAAATCTTAGTGGATTGTTTTGAAGTTTAAAGCTGTAACAACAAAATAGGGGTATAACAAATAAGTATGTATGCTTTTACAATGTGAAAATTTTGTGTTAAAATAGCCCTATGAAAGATCCGCATTGCTGATACTGAATTCTCTTCCCCGTCTTTCCAGTTCAAGGTGAATGGTGAGTGGTGGACGTGGATCGACTACGACCGTTTCCAGGAGCTGGTCAAAGCTCACGATGACAGCGGAGGGCAGCAGAGCTTCTCAGCCTTAGATTACATCGCTAAGACCCCCAGTTGGGCTCTGTTTGGGGCAAACGAACAAGGGTTCGACCCCGCAGACACTCGTTTTCAGAGACGCAACAAAACCAAAGACATCTCTGGATGCTGATTCAAAAGAGTTCATATTTTAAAAGGTGTGATTGAATTAACCAAACTGGGGCATCTTTATGAAAAGTTCCTAAATGCTGGGTTTTTGTTTTTATCTTTAGACATTCTGTGAACCTTCTCCGTCTTTTTCCTATATTTGGATCTTTAAATGTATTTTTTTGCAGCTGGATGAATGTAAAGCTACTAATACCATCTTCATATTCGCTAACCTTTCCTTTGTTTCATATTTTTCATGGATGTACATAGATTGTTTAGTTTTTATTTTCTTCTTCTTTAAATTGGTTTCCCGACATTAAAGAAAAGTTATTTTCCATTCCCTCTTCTATGTATTAGATTGGCTATAGAGTTTCTGATGCAAGTATGACTATAATAGTTTAATATTGTTTCTCTCGTTATAAAGTTTTGTTTTAAAGTTACATCACTTTCTATCTGCTTACCACATCATCTCCTGTCAGTTGGGTTTGATTTGTCTGGGATTTTTTTTTTGGCCGTTCAGCAAGTTTAAAAATGTTTTTTCAAATTTCCATGTTTGTTTGCTTTTAATGTTGATTTTTTTTTATATGTTTTTTTTTTTTTTTTCATTAGACCATAGAATTTCTGAAAATTGTATCTGAATTTTCATGTATGGCCTGAAATAAACACTGGACTTTAATAAACCGGTGAAGACATGGTGGCTCCTGGTGCTGAAATGTGATTAGAACTATACCGGTACATCAAGAACCTATCGGTTATTTAGGTTACATTTTGTTTTTAACAAAGCTCTGTTTAGAATATCCCTTTGTCCAGGGTGCAATGATTTACACATCATGAACCTGTGATTCTCTAAAACTTTCAAGTTCAGAACAAGAAAGTTTTAAGTTTTTCACACCCATCAGATCTAGAATGAAGTTTGTTTACGAAGGAAAAGATAAGTATAGATGGGGATCTAAAAGACACTAAAATAATGTTAAAAGACTTTTTCAACACACAAAGATCTGTTATTTACATTATCATAAAATAAAATGTAAAGTTTAAATTACTTATACCCTTCAAATAAATTACTTATATCTTATGCGGCTGGCTAGCTCAAATGGTAAGGATGAGGTTGGGGTATTGTGCTTGGAATCCTAAGCTCCTTGGCAGTTCCTAGTGTATCTGATACGGTGTTTGTTTTTTGCGGGGGGCTTTAGATTCTGTTGAGGATTAAATTATTCATTTATTTTGTTGTGTTAGTTACAGATAAGGTGTTTATTTAATGCTCCATTGGAAAAGGTTCTAGATCACATTAACCATTTTTGTCACATTCAATCCCGACCAGCTCACTGCAGATTTCACTCTTAATGATATTAAGATATCACTAGAAACGACAAACCCTGCACATACACAGTGGTTTTTATATGTGCGAATGCATCCAGTATTTCATTATGATTCAGATGCTTGTTTATGTTTAATCTAATCCATTGTCCCATTGCTTGTACCCTCTTCTCCTTGCTGGGTCATTTAGGGGATTTGATGTCTATCTTAAGCTGAACGAGAGGCACAGTCAGGCCTGATGCAGTCCATCACAGAAACATTCTTCTATCACAGGAAACTGTTAGTGATTTATATCTCACATAATCCCAATTTGAAACATACTAAATGTCATTTTATAAACATTTTTATTGTCTTCTGTCTTCTTTACCAAATAATGGTGGAGGTGTTTAAAAACTTGCAGCAGGCTGGTTTCCTGCCCCAACCTGTAGGGTCAGATATTTCAATACCGTGTTCTTTATGAGTTTTGACTGAGATGATTTTTTTTTTTTTTTTTTACTGTAGGAAAAAAAGGTCTTAGAAAAAAAAACTCTGACACCTACATGTGTAGCAATGCCAACAGCAGAGGACCCGGTCCTCGGGATGTCCGTTTGACCAACGGGCCAAGGTGCATAATTAGTCGATGGCATAGTTAGAGGACCCCACACTGTTCTATCACTCCCTCTTTCCCAAGCATGTCCTTGTGTAGGATATGACAGCCACTGTAGGATATGACATGCCTTTTGCCATATTTTTATATTTACTTTGAATCCTTTTTTTCAACTGATATAATTACCAAAAGTGTTTTTATAAGAAAATGTGTTACCTAGGACAGTACAACTGAAAACTTTACCCAGGTTTATCCCCTTATTTCCGCTTACACTCATTAGATAAGCTGGTTAATATTTACTATTCTAAAGCTGCAGACAGCGTTGATTCCATTGCTCCAGTTAAAGTGAAAGTTGTCTATGGAAAGACGAAATGTCCGTGGAGAAATGCTCCAGCAAGGAAAAAAAAAAAGGAGGAGTGCTGAAAAGCCGGACTACACTGGAAAAACGATCTAGAAATAAGAAAAAAATTCTTTATTCAAGTGTATTTAACCTTAATTTGCGTAGGTACTGTAAGTAAGATAATTTGCCAATATAATGAGTATTTACTCTTAAAATAAGATACTTGGATACAATGCACTTGAAATAAGACATTGCAATTGTGTTTTTTATTTTAGGTGTAAGTTGTCTTGTTCCATTGGCAAAGTTTCTCTTTTACCTTCTACATTCAAGAATAAATGCACTTATTTTAGGAAGAAATTACTTATCTAGATTTAGATTTTTTCCAGTGTAAGGAGGGGAAATAATTGACTTTAAGTATGGTATGAAATCTATAAAGAGAAACTTCATAGATATAATTTTAAACTAAAAAATACAAGATGATCTTTCTTCTATGATATTATCAACAAAATCATTAACATTGCTCGTACCTTTTTAGCCACAGTCGACAGGTTAACAAACTATCCAATCTCTGTGGCTGATGAACTCCAATCTAAAAAGGCCTGCAATTACTTTGAAAACTTTTTCTGTGGGAAAATAGGAGGTATGAGAAAAACAGTTTACACATCAACGCCAACTTCAGCACCAATACTGTCACCAATTAGAATAAACTTTGTTTTGAAGTTTAGAAGAAGCTGTTCAACAGCTAAGCTCCTCCTCCTTCTGTCTCGTTTTTTTACCCACAGGTTTTATTAAGAAGGTTTTGTTTGTTTTAGAATCTGATTTAATTCAAATCATAAACACATCCCTCATGTCGGTATCCCCCGAGCTTTAAAAACAAGTAATTATCAAACCATTGTTGAAAAAGAGAAGCTTGGACAAATTGGTCCTTCGGAACTACAGACCCGTCTCAAACCTCCCCTTCATCATTAAGATTATCAAAACAAAATATTTCAACTGTTAAATTCTTTCTAAAAAATGACCAGCTGCTTTTATGTCTTCCAGTCGGGTTTCCATGCCAACCACAGTACAGAGACTGCCCTGATTAAGGCGTTCAATGACATCTGTTTAAAGTCAGACTATGGAAGAACCACTGTGCTGGTATTATTGGACCTCAGTGCGGTGTTTGATACTGTTGATTACTTGATTTTATGAAGGTGTTTGGAAAACCAGGTCTTGTCCCGCACTGGACTGATTAAATTCTACCTGAAGGGCAGGGACTTCAATGTGTAAGTAGGGAACTTTCAATCAAGGACCAGAAAAATCACATGCAGGGTTCCTCAAGGCTCCATTCTGTGGCCCCTCCTATTTAATATTTACATTAACCTCATAGCTCAGATTATAGCAAACAACAAGATTAGTTACTATAACTATGCTGACGACACACAGCTTTACATCATAATGGCACCAGGTGACTATGAACCCATCAGAATACTGCCTAGATGCTTAGAACAGATCAATATGTGGATGTGCTATAATTTTCTCCAACTGAATAAGAACAAAACTAAGGTCATAACCTTTGGATCAAAGGAGGAGAGATCCTGAGCTAGCTCACAGCTTCAGCAAAGCTAGAAACCACTGATTATGGAGGAAATCTTGGCGTTAAGAGGTAATGAAACCTGAAGCTTCAGAGGTAAATATAGGCAATTACTAAGTCAGCCTTTTTATCATCTTGAGAACATCTCCACGATTAAAGAACTAATGTCCAAGCAGGATCTAGAAAAACTCATTCATGCTTTTATTTATACTAGTATTGATATCTGCTACTGTATCTTCATTGGTTTGTCTAAAAAGTCCATCAGATAGCTGAAGCTGATCCAAAACGCTGCTGAAAGTTGAACAAATCAGCCGGGGTCTGAAGTCCTTCCACTGGCTCCCTGTAGTGATGGGCTATCTGAAGCCAGGCTTCGAGGCTTGTACAGAGTAATAAGGGGGCGTGTCAATGAAGCCCCGCTTCGAGGCCTGTGTTGTCTTGTTGAAAACCACGTGACTGCCAAAAAACGAGGCCTCAATTGCATTGGTCACGTGACTGCTTCATTTTGCGTGTCGGTTTTCAAAATAAAAGCGCGATGAATCCTGTTGCTTCGTGGGTTGTAGTAGGTGGTTTGGTATCAGCAGAATAGTTTCCATCAGCAGTGGTTGAAATGGAGCCGTCAAAAAAGAGAAAAACCTCTCATATGTGGGAGTATTATGAGATGACAGATCACAATAAGGTTTGTAAAATGTTTACCCAAGATCTGACTACATTTTCCTCATTAATAGCAACGTTGTGTTAACTTCCACATCCTTTTATTTCAGGTGAAATGTTTGCTGTGTGACAGGGGGCCTGTTTCAATAAGGAAGTTCAACCAACTCTGAATTAAAACTTGAACTCTGAGTTGACTTATCCTGAGATTGGAAACTCTTGAGTTTTGGGTTTCAGAACAGCTGAAATGAGTTAGTTCAATCAACTCTAAATTGACTGACTCTGAGTTAAGTGCGTGCACCACAACTATAAAAAGCCATTATCAATGGAGCACAGATATTACGAGTCACCATGGCAACAGCGTCAGACAAAAAAAGGTGTGCATATTTCTCACCAGCAGAACTGGATGTGCTTATGCAAGCATATGCAGAATTTGAACATGTATTTTAAAAAAAAAGCAACACGGCTGCAGCGGCGAAGGAGAGAGAGTTAGCTTGGGTGAAAATAGCTGCTAGAGTCAATGCGTAAGTTTACATTTTAATTACTTTTATACAGTGTTGGGTGTAATGAATTAAGTTACTTAAGTCATATAAATACTGTAATTAAATTAAAGACTATTAAAAAATAGTGGATTTAATATAAAATTTTTAAAAGGTATATTTTGATTTGAACTTTCTCCCTCTAGTTACACACTTTTGTCAATTTAAGATTAATTCATGAGATTGAATATTGTTTATTTGAAAGCATTAGAAGTGCAGTTTCTTGTCTCTCCTTGTATTGTTCAAGTGGTTGAGGTTGATTTGGGATTTAGAAAGTAATTAATAAGTAAGTAAAACAAATTAGTAAGTAGACCAATACTTTCTAGAGACAGTAATTATTACATTAATCTAATTAGACTTGTTGAAGATAAAATTTGTAGCTAGTAATTAAGAACTATTTTAGAGTAACTTACCCAACTGTTATAATATCAGAGGTGAAACTGGAAGAACAGTATTTTATTAAACCTAATTTAGTTTTCATGGATAGGTGCAATCCTGCAGGCATCAAAAGAACATGGCAGCAGCTGAAAATGAAATATAAAAACATACTTCAAGCAGGTAAGCCTTGAGCACATCATGGGGGTAGAGTAGCTACCTGGCTTTACAAACAGGATCATCCATAAAAGGACATGCCATTTCATTCCCTTTAATGCGCTCTACGTGACTGAAATGTGTGCAATGAATACTGTATGTCCCCAAAGAATCAATGAGGTGTTTAAACACCACTTCCTCTTTAAAAAAGGGGAGGAGACCAAAATAAACTCTGGATTTTCTGAAGAAAACCTGCTCCGGACCAGGTTAGGTTCACAGAGTAAATTCCCATGGTAACTGACTCTGAGTATAAGTTACCTCTCTTTCAGAAACCGGCTTGACTTACTCTGCTTTCTCAGGTTTAACTTACCTCCCTTTCTGAAACAGAAAACCCAGAGTTTCCCTCATTTCAGGGTTAACAAACTCAGAGTTTTCACTTAACCTCCTTTCTGAAACAGGCCCAGGGTGTTGGTCTACAACAACAACACATCATCAATGATTAGGCATTACAGGGCCATGCATGAAAATAAGCACACTTCAGACACAGGAGACACCAGCCAGAGTATGACATTGTCTTATGTTTTGTAAATTATTTCATTCATATTTATATCTATCAGTATATTATTGTGTCAATTAAATTGTTTTATATTTATGCGTCTTGCAGGTTCCAGGAAGCAGGTGCTAGATGAGGCTGTGGCAAATCTGATTGTAAAGGATTCCCAACCTTTTTCAGTGGTGGAGGATGAGGGCTTCAGAGAGCTCATTCATTTGCTGGATCCAACCTATGTTCTTCCTACTAGAAAGGTTTATATGTGTAAACAATAACAGCTAATGTGGTAATTTGAAATCATTTCAGTTATTAAAATGAATAATTTTGCTTTTTATTTTAGGCATTAAAAAAGATGGTGGAAGATAAATTTTTACAAAACAAAAGAAAAGGCCAAAGAAGACATCCAAAAGGTGACTGCCGTCAGCCTGACAGCAGATATGTGGACGTCCATGAATATGGAGGCATACCTGGCCGTAACATGCCACTTCATTGATCCCAATGACAAACTGAGCATTGTATTAATTGGAGTGGAGCATTTCCCTTCCACTCACACATCTGACAGTCTGGCCAGGGTAGTGCATAATCACATGGCGGAGTGGGGAATTACTGATAAGGTGAACTGTCTGGTGACTGATGCAGCTGCTAACATGATTGCATGTGCTAAGGCATTAAAGATCAGGCACTCCATCTGCATTGCTCATGGACTGAATTTATTAGTCCGAAAATCATTTGACCAGATCCCTGACCTCTGTGACATCCGCGCAAAGGCTAAAAGAATTGTGGCATATTTCCACTCAAGCACCACAGGTAAAGAAAGGCTAGAAGGGACTCAAATACAGATGGGAAGACAATCACAAAAGCTCCTAATCGATGTGGAGACACGCTGGAACAGCACTTACCTAATGTTGGAACGTCTGTTTCAACAAAAAGAACCTGTGGCCGCAGCCCTCACAACACTCAAAACTGATATAATTCCTTTGACTTCTCAGGATTATGAGATAATTGAGGAATCCTTACCCGTGTTGTTCCCATTTTTCCAAGCAACTTCAGAGCTCTCTGAAGAGAAAAGAGTGTCAATATCCAAGGTTATACCTTTAATGAACATGCTGCACCATGCAGTGCTTACAAAGATGGCAAATATCAAAAATGATGTTGCAAGACTTCTGTCTGAAAACCTATTGAGGCGTGTCAAAGAACAAGTCTCAAATATTGAATCATTAAGTGTCATGACAATGGCCACATTGCTGGACCCTAGGTTCAAAACTCTTGGTTTTCTCAGTCAAAGCAAAGCACAAGAGGCGGTAAGGCGGCTGAAAGCAGAATGTTCGACACTGATTGCAAGTAATGAAGGAGTCCAGCTACAGGAATCAGGAGATGCAGGAGAAGGCGCTAGCAGATCCTGTGAGTTTTTATATATTTTGACATTTTCTTGTGACATTTGTACTACTGTATTTCAGCTCTTGGAGTTGTGTATTATCTGTAATGATCTTTTGTTTTTATTTATAGGTGAACTGTGGTCTCTTTTAGATACTACAGTGGACCAGAAGAGGCATAGCTCCAATGCCACAGCAGATGCCATCGTTGAAGTGGAGCGATACCTTGCTGAAAAGAACCTAAGGAGACATGAAGATCCATTGGTGTATTGGCATACACAGAAACATGTGCATCCCCACTTGTACTGTATGGCACTGAAGTTCCTCTGTTCACCTGCATCATCAGTGCCGTGTGAACGAGTTTTTTCCAAGGCGGGGGAGGTCATCTGCCGACGAAGAAACCGTGTAAAACCTGAAACAGTGAAAAAAATCCCATTCCTAAATAAAAACAATTAAACCTAAAATCCAGAAATTTCTATATTTTCTTTTGTTTAATCAGGAGATGCATCAGAATCACACATCAAAACCAGACTAAAAGCCATTAGAAGAGGCAAACTTAATATTAAGAATCAGAAAGAACTCCTAGGAAGAGATGATTTTAAACAAATTCTGTCTTTAAGGAAGCAAGTTTCAAGCTCAAAGTATACAGAGTCTGCAGCAACAGTCACTCAGTTCTCAATACATTAAAGTAACACATATCTTCATTGTCTAATAAGTCCATGACATAAAAGAAAACCTAACACCACCACTGATGGTCAAGGATTAGATTGGCTACAAATCATTTTAATCATTAAAACATGATAATTAAATAGGATTCTCCTCTTACTAAACATGAGTTTGATGAAAACTTTGTGACAATATTGCATTTCCTAATATTTGGAAGTATGATCCAACTGAGTAACAAGGCTGTTACAGTTTCACCAGCAGATGTCACTAGTGAGTGATGAATGAAGCATCGAGTAATGAACTTTTTTCAACACTTTGCCTTGGAAAGCTTCATTGCTTCATGAGGCTTCACTTGCCCATCACTAGCTCCCGGTAGCTCAGAGATTAGACTTTAAAATCCTTCCTTAGTCTATAAATCACTGAATGGATCAGCACCTTAATACATAACAGATGTGTTGTCAGTGTATCAACCTCCCAGACCACTGAGGTCTTCTAGTTCCAGACGATTATGTCCACCCAGAACCAGAACCAAACATGGAGAAGCAGTGTTTAGTTCCTAGACACCATTTATCTGGTGCAAAATGACTGTAAAAGTGCTGAAAGCCTGAGTTCTTTAAGTCAAAGTTAAAAACCTATTTGTTTAGAGCTGCCTTTGACTGTTGAAGTTAAACTGCTAATTTAGGTAATATTAGTTTAAGGTTGTAATCCAACTGTTTTATTTGTTTTACTACCTGCTTGTATGATATTGTTTTCTTTATTTTCTTTTACTCTGCTTATACTGTTCTAATTTTACTCAGCTTTTCACCCAGAAAAAAATCTTATTTTCATTGATGAAAATGTAAATATTTAAACTTCTAACACTCTTAACAAAGTGGGGAGTGGTTAGGGCATAGAACTTGGAATCCTGAAGTTCTGAGTTCGAACCCCACTTCCACAGACTGCCACTCTGGGTTCCTGAGCAAAAGACCCTTAACCCCACAATGCTCCCCTGGCGCTGCACAATGGCAGCCAACTGCTCCCCAAGGGGATGGGTTAAATGCAGACAGTAGGTTTCATTGTGCTGTACTTGTGACAGTGTAATGACTATTTAAAAGAAACAGGCTAAAAAAAGCTTTAATTTGGTTTTATGTTAAAGGAAATGCACTCCATTGTAGGTTATTGCTATGGCCAAATACTTAAATTTAAAAAAGGATCACATAGCAAATCAAAGAAGTGAATAAATGAATGTAATTTTCCATATCCTTTGGCGACAGAGTGAACGCCATCATTTTAATCCCCATTAGCACAGACAACCTGCAGCTCATGAACTAAACTCTGAAACACTTTAATACCTTATGTATACTTTCTCCCTCCAGACATATCGAGAAAAGTGAGCCAAGAAAATTGTTCAGCAGTTTTGTGTAGTTCATTTCATTGCTCTGTATTTGTGTCAGTGTACTGACAATAAAAACTGGAAAAGAAAAAAACAAATTAGCTTTAGCAAGTAAACTTGACCTCTCTGCTGTGTTTGAGTTAATGAATGTATTTTTCACAGTCTCTGTTTTGCTAAAGTTCATTATTGTAAGATGCATCAGACTTGAGGCTGATTTTCTTTATTTTTTTTAGCTTTATTTACCCCCATGAGGCAGCAGCAAAGTTTTATTTGGTTGAAAATCTGCTATTAAGTGAGAGTAGCTGTGGGTGAATGACCTTGATTAGCTCATTTACGAATCCTTTCTTCAAGCAAATTGACTTAATTAACCAAATGATCGCCTAATGAAGGTGTCGCCTCGGAGACTGATGCCTTCCAAACGGAGTGTCTGAATTTATTCTGTGGAAACCATTCCCGCCTGACAGCTGACTGGTAAACCACAAAGCAATCCTATGAATCATAAACATTCTGCCTCTGAGATGAGTGTTAAACCGCAGGCATGGTGCAAAGAGATTAGGGGAGATATGTGCTAATTGCCTGCTGTGTGTCCTGGATCATTCAGTGCCTCCTCAGGCTAACATCATATGGTCTGTTTCACAAAATTCTAACATCAATTTCACCATTAAAACTGAGAGTTAGGATTTTAACTGTTTTATCTGTAATCACCTAAACTGCCAAATTTGACCAGTATATGTATTCTTCTTGATTTCAAAATTTGAATCTATTGTGTGTGAATTTATTTCTTAGCCATTGGTCTAAAAAACAAACAAAAATATTTGCTAAAGCTCTAACATGTGGATGTCATTGGAAAGGACTGGAAAAGGAGCACCTTGTTACTTTTGAGCTGTTTTTACAGTTTTATTCCTCTGCCTTGTAAGTAAACCAGTTTTTTAAGCAAACCACCTCATGAAAAGTTGCTGTATTCCATGAATAAGCTGAACCAGCTGCTCCCTCAGCAGAAATACTTTTTCAGATTATGCATTTGGAGAATATATGCAGCACCCCTGTGTGAAAAAAGACTGGTAGGCCAATTGACATTTTCACCACCCTTTCCTATAATGTACAATATCCTTTAAATCTTGCAATAAGAGTTAATGATTCCCATTAGCACCATATATGAAAGCAGAAATGAAGATTTGATTGAAAAATATCAAAAGAATACAATGCAAAATGTAATTTGTCTTTCCTATTATTATGTTGCAGGGGGGAGAAATACTGCAGTGGCGTCAAGCAGCACAGACAATCAATCTGCATTAAAAAGCAGCTGCTGCTATTTTTATCCACACATGCCTATGCATACTTACACAGGATATTAAATCTGCTTGTAATACTTCTTCTGCTTTAAAAGTAATGTTTAGTTTGGCTAGAAATGACTTCAGGGAAGATTAAATTCATGCTTGGTTATTAAGAAAGTTTACATTTAATTTCTGCAATTTCGGCAGTAGCAATAACCGTATTCAGAGCATCTTTATTTTATAAATTAAGGATTTATGGACCATAATAATTTTTAAATCACTTGATCTACACAATCATGCAATGAAAAAGAAAAGAAACAACCCTCCTCTTCTTAGCCCTGTAGAATTCATGGCCTCACACGCAGCATGCCTGTGTGCACAATGTGATTGACGCCACAGGAGAGGATCAGGTGCAGCATGTTTATCTGTAACCTTTAAGCCTTGTGGGCTGCTACAGGCCTACAGGGAAGGATTGATGAATGAGCCAAAGAAAGCTAAAACTAAAAAATGCTACATACTTTGGTGAGCAAAATCCTTATTAGTCACAAACTCAGACAAAAATATTTATTTATTTTTCTCAGTGTCCTGTCTGGCCATGTGTGATAAGAATAATTGTCTTGATGCCAAAAAATAGCCCAACAGATTTTACTTTTACAAGTGGAGCAGTACGGCTATCGCCACAGTGTGCTGCTTGATTTAAGCATGTAAATAGCTTTATTATAATTCATGCAGGGAGTATGACAGATTATATGGACACTGCAATGGGAAGGTAGGACAGGAAAGGGAAAACAAGAAAAAGGAGAAAATATGAAAGAAAGAGGAGATAAAAGGGAGATAACGATAAAACGTCTTCTGTCTGCTTCATCACCTGCAAAGAGATGTAAAAAGAACAGCACAACCAATGGATATAGTATTAGAGATACGTATACAATACGTATAAGTAGTTTTATAGTATTATTAGTATTATTCTGACATGTATACTGACATGTATACTGTGGTAGTTAAGATAAGAATATGGGCTTTCTGTATGAAAGTGAATCTCTAAGTACCTGGAACCAAGCACCTGTAGTTGTTTGTGATAGTGCACTTGTGCATGTAAAGTTTATCAAAAGGAAAAATGCTCAATTGTGGTTGTGACGAGCCAAGCTTTTTTCAAAATATTTAAAATTTCTCACATATTTGTTTTTTATACTGGTTCTAAAATACAACTGAGTGATTTTTTCTGCATATAATGTTGAGCTAATCTGCTCATAATCAATATCCAATCCAATCCAATCCACTTTATTTATATAGCACGATTTAAATAAACACAAGGTTTCCAAAGTGCTGCACAAAAAAGATAAAATAACTAAAATAAATAAAAGTAAATAAAATAAAATAAAATAAAAGCACTGCCCGCACAGGATAAAAATATGCATGTGTATACATAAAATCAACACGGTGGCATGGTGTCAAAAGCCAAAGAAAAGAGGTGGGTTTTAAGAAGAGTTTTAAAATGAGACAGAGAGGTGGCCTGTCTAATGTGCAGCAGCAATCCATTCCAAAGTTTTGGAGCTGCAACAGAAAACGCTCGATCCCCTCTGAGCTTAAGCCTCGCTTTAGGCACTGTCAGGAGCAGCTGATCAGCTGACCTGAGAGATCGGCTGGGAGTGTAGGGGTGCAGCGGCTCAGAGAGGTAAATTGGGGCAAGGCCATTCAAGGCTTTAAAAGTAAATAAAAGAATTTTAAAATGAATCCTAAGATGGATGGGCAGCCAGTGGAGTGAAGCTAAAATAGGTGAAATGTGCTTGTACTTAAGTGTGCCAGTTAAAAGACGTGCAGCAGCATTTTGAACCAGTTGAAGACGAGCAATAGTGCCCTCTAACTAAAAATGTACCTCAAGCTTTACAAGACTTAGTCATTAAACACTTTGCACTCAACATTTTCCACTTCCTGTATAAACCCAGCCCTTGTGTCCCATGAGTTAGGTTAAGATTTATGCTCTAAATTGTCCTTTTATTTCCACAGGAAGTGATGTACAAATTGAGAACCAATTGGCCATGTTTGTTATGTCACGTGTTATGGTGAATAAAACGTTGAGCGCAGGTGGTTTGCAAAATGACTGCTCCACCTCTCTCAGAATAAAACTGCATTTCCCTGGTGATGGTCTTATTTTTCTCTGCTGAAAAGGAATCCTGCTGAGCAACTGTTGCTGCATAGTTATATCTGCTAACAAGTTTTAACAATCTCGTTTTTAAATAGACAGATTTGTTGGTACCAAAAAACAAACACATGCATTTTGCTGTGGACAGTTTACATTTATTTATATTTTTACTCTTTGTGCAAATGACTATGATTGAAAAGGAAGCGTACCTGACATGATAAGCTGGACACAAACTTCATGATTTAAATAATCATTCCAAATTTGTTAATATAATGAATTCCTTCTAACTGATTAGTCTTTATTTCCTGACTGAAAGACAGAGATGATTGCTTAATCGCTAACTGGATCTGCTGAAGGATCACACACAGGATTTTTCAAAGTAAAGAAAGCAGCTGAATGCATTAAACTTTTATGGACCTTTTACAAACAAGATGTGATGAAAAGGATAAGAGGTAAAATTGTGACAGGTTTTGGGTGTGCTTTGGTGGCCCAGCGGTTAGCGCACATGACCTATGTATGGAGGCCTTAGTCCTCAATGGGGCTGACCTAGGTTCAAATCTGACCTGTGGTCCTTTGCTGCATGTCTCTCCCTCTCTCTCATATCCTCTTTCCTGTCAGCCTACTGTCCAAAAAATAGCTACTAGTGCTGTAAAACTAAAATTGTGACAGGTTTTACATTTATTTCACTGATACTGACTTTCCTTCAGTGATATTTGTTGCAGAACTAGCAGAGATTTTGAATTCGGATGACTAAAGCATGATTCCAGATGAAACAATCTAATCTGAAAAATCAAGCAGCTTCATCCACAAAAGCTCCAACCTGAAGATTCAGGGTAAGACAAAAGTCATCACTTCCAGCCGGAGATGTGTTCTGTTGCAGATTTCTACCTGGCTAATCTGTTTTAATCCTGGTAAATGGACTGGAAATGAAAAGGGATAAAATAACTCCAGCAAAGAACCCTGGTTCTTAGAAGAATTTCATATATTTTTTTTTTTTTTTACAAGGTGCAACTTCTTTATAATAAAGAGAAACTACACACAAAATCAATCTAATAACGCAGCAATGTATGTCAAAAAATATTTGTTAAATAAAAAAAAAACACAATAAACTGAATTAAAAATCATCTTTCAAAGAATGTAATCCAAATCTGATTTTTTTTTTTACATAAATTAATTTGTCCTGAAGTTAAACCTAAAAGGGAAGCTGAAAGTATATTTTGAATTGCCACCCTGCTGTGCTCATAAAAAGTAAACATCTGCTATTAAAGGGCCAGCAGCGGTTATTTAGTGGAGATGCAGAGTAAACTTCATCCTGCTGAAGTTTCTCCGCTGTTTTACATCAGAATCTTCATTCTATATATGAGCCAGAAACTGTCCCTGTACATTTTTATATGACAGGTTTGCTTACACTACTCATGTATAATCAGATATCTTATTAAATGTAAACATCCAGGAGTGGCTGTTTTATACAACAGAATCCACTACGAGCTTCAGTTAGTGTTTTCTTTTCTCGCTCTGTGCAGCCTGGATCATTTGCACATGCTCACGTTGGAAACATTACCAGGCAGAGAACACAGATGCCACACATTTGGTGGTTGGGAGAAAACTGTACTGTAAATGCTACGTCTGTGTGACGAGAGCTTGGCAGAGAAATGATTGGCCTAACATAGGTGCAGAGAGCCTATAACAGAATGGTGAGGTCATCTTAATGCCCACCACATCATTATGGAGCATTAAAAAGAGAAAATACCATAATTTTTGATTTTCCTGTTTCTTATTCAAAGCAAAGTGTAGTTAAATCTGAACCAAATAGAAGTAAAATACATTCTATATAAATCTACAGAATACTTTAACACTGATATATCTCCCCAGGCAATCGATGTAACAACTGCAAGATAGATTTTAAATGACATGGAGGACTCTGCTACTCTCCTGTGGATAGAAACTGTAAATTTGGGGCAATACTGCAGCAAAAAACTGACATATTTTGGACTTAAGGTAGAAACTATCTCTTCATGTCTTTGCCTCAACAGCTGATTCAGCAGGAGCAAGAAAACTAATGCCTGAGTGGCTGAGGAGACATTTTGTACTCTCCACTCTTTCTAATGTTTTATAAATACCTTTTTTTTCTTTGCTCCCTCGCAGCAAGAAGGTAATTAAGGTCAATGTAATTATTTATTGAGGTTTACTGGTTCTCCATGTCCTGCTCCGAGAATCACTGTTTAATCTTAATCCATAATTTATCATTTATGCATAACAACATTAACTTTTTGTCTTCTAAAAGGACAGTAGTGGACTGCAACCCAACAACAGAATGAATGGATGAAGAAGAACCCACTCAATGTCTGCAAAACACTGTTTTTTTAATAATGTTTTTGGTTGTATAAATTATGAAATACCTCCAAGCATATCAAGTTAATTAATTCATTTATTAACCACCAGTCATGTGTAAATGAACTTTTTAGCCATTAAAAAAGCTTTTTGCATAACGCCGCCATGCTTTTGAATAATCTTCCTGGCAGAATTTGGTAGTTCATTTAGGCGTCTTGACTTTATTGCAAATACCTCAAAGGACACAAATTTTGAAAGGGCTAATTTATAGGATTAAAGAAAAAAAAGGGTTTATTCACATAGAAAATTATTTAGCCTGTTGTTTTTTCTGGGCCAAATGCCTTCAACCAGCCTTCAACCAGTCATCAGTGCCAGATTATTCGATTTTGACGTTATTATATTGATATTATATATATGATATTTCTGATTGCCTGATTCTGACCCGTTTTGCCTCTGGATCTCTGAGCTTGCCTGTCCCCATTCTGATCTGTTTGCCTGACCTGTCTTTGGACTCCCGCTAGATTCTGCCTGTCTGTGTGCAGAACCTGGAACTGTTTCCCGACACCGTCCTGGATTTCCTTTCTGAACCTCTTTGGACCTTTGATCTCCTGGCTCTGACTCCCGAGCATGTCCCTGACATGTGCTTTGGCTTCGCCCTCTGAATTATCCTACTCTCTGCCTCTTGTTGGCAGCCGACCAGATGGACCAAACCTCATCCTCTGAGTTGGACTGAACTTTAAGACTAGGTCAGTGACTCATGCTCATTATCATCTGCTACCAGATAGACGTGATCACTAACCTGTGTTCTCCCCCTGCAGAGGTTCCTGCCTTAGAAAGCTACTCTGATCTCTGCAGTTCAATCTTAAATAAACATTTTGTTAAATCTAACTGTCTTTCCGCATCGAATACTGGGACTTTTTGTTCTTAACCTGAAACATTGTACATTTTGTAAGTGACACTCACTGGCCAGATCATTAAGGACTCTTTGCTAGTACTGGTTGGACCCCTTTTGCCTTCAGACCTGCCTTAATCCTTCGTGGCATAGATTCAACAAGGTAATGGAAGCATTCCTCAGGAATTTTTTGTACCATGAGTTCCCCTCTCAGTCAAAAGTATTGATAATTATCCAAAAGAGGAACGTACAATAACTGAAATAAAGACTGTTTTACTGAATCTTTTCATTGGACCATTTGATTTTTATAAATGTATGCTTTCCTTCTCAAATATAAAAATAACATAAATATGTTGCCTGGAAGTTTGTAAGGAATTGAAATAAACCTGAATTAAAAAAAAAAAAAACGTAGCTTCCCTATAATCACATTTCAACTTGATGAATTAGGAAAAAAATTAGTCAGACCGAGTTAATTTGCGTTGCTTTGTTTTTATCAAGACACCTGAGCTGCTTTGATGAGCTCCGATACTTCAGAGTGAAAAACAGCTGATCCCAGGCTGTTCTCTACATCCAGTCTGTTCCTCTGCTTGGTTTGGATGTGTGTCAAAGCTGAAGGTGAATTCAAACATATAATAAAAACCTACTTTTTGGTTGCTAGAGGCTTGTTTAATTGTTCAGTTGGGCCCTCAGAAAGCAAAACAAATCCAAGCCCTATTTTATTTTACTACCTAAAAAATCATTCATGTCAGTCAGTAATTAAATACAGTAATTCAGGCCTTCATTTTTGAAGAGTTTCAAGCTGCAAAATGTTGCTGAACATCCTTTCTTAATTTTCTATCCATTTTCTTTTCCAGATGTTATCTAAATAGTAGCTTGGTCTCACATTGAGCTCACTGACTGTTCTTTCTTTTGACAAAAGAACCACAAATTAAACCAGTGTCCCCCTGTGAGTGACAGATACTTCTGTTGTCAAGGAATAAAAACATAATTTATAACTGCACAGTTGCATAATATGTAATGATGTAGCAGAGATTAGGGATTTGGAGTCATCAAATCGTCTCTACATCAGGTGTTTTTTCTGCCCAGCCACTCAACCCTTTGACTCCAATCTGCACAGGTGAAACCAAAATGGCTTAACAGAACAAATACATGACATAGAGAATACTTGCTGACTCCAGATCCCCATCTCTGTGATGTAGACAGGTTCATAGTGGATATATATGTATATATATATATATATATATATATATATATATATATATATATATATATATATATATATATATGTAAACCAAGTGCTAAAAAGGAAGACAACCAATTGAACTAAAGTACCAGTCAAGGTTACCACCACCTGAATTGTTTTGCAAGTTTGCTTCTCCTTGTTGAGGGAAAATCTGCCCCTGACACTGCAGGGCAACCCGACCCAACTCACCACAGTCAATTCCAAGCTGCCAGACAGACAGGACAGGACAATTTTTGATCTTATATGGAACAGAGAAAAATTGTCCTTATCCTAATCATTTCACCCTGGTAAAGAGACAGTACGGATGCATCCATAGAGAGCACAAATTAATTCGACATTCATGCAAATTATGACAGTGTGGAATATATTTGACAGTTTTTGATATATTATTCCTTTATAAAAAAATAAATGAAATAAAAACAGACCAGCAATCATACAAACACATTTACAGAAAAAAGGCATTTTTTATGAAGTGGTTTGTATTCAGTTTCTCATTTTTATTTGTGTTTTAGTTAGAAATCATTATAAAGAAGGCAGTTTGGAGCAACAGCTTCACAGCTTCTGTCTCCGGACTGTGGGCGGAAACTGACAGCGTTTAAGATGCTCAGAGCTGTGAATTTTACTGTGAGTGTTATGGACTTAGAGCTTGTTTCCTGAATTTGATTGAAAAACAATGACTGAATGACCCTTTAACACATTTAATTGAGTTGCATTTCTATATGACGTGTATTTAGAATTTTCTGAATTTTTGCTTTACAAGGCTGAAGTGTAGCCAATTTAAGTAAAGTAATTTGAGTAAAATGAACCAAACATTCGCAAAGTATCACTTAACTCAAACATAGATTCTAGTCTTTTCTCTGCCGTTTGTGTATGTTGATAATGAACTTAAAAAAAAAAAAAAAAGATTTAATGAAATATTTATTATGTGCTGATATTTTTTTAAAAATAAAACTGATTTATATAATTTCAGTAAGAAAGAAGGATCACAGTTTTGGCAATGATGATTCTGTCTGCATAGCAGAATGTTTTGCTCTATTTGTTAAAAAGAAACTCCTTGTCATCTCTCACAAAGACCTTCAGAAGTCAGAGGCTTTATGATCTGCAACAGCTGTCACGTAGCATCAATGAGGATTTGAGTTTTGTTGCAAAAAATCCAGAGCAAAGCCAGTGACAGATTCAATGCAGTGATGAGAAAGTTTGGATGAAGTCACTGTAGGAACAAAGACATTATTATACATTCTATAGAAAAAAACACTCATACCTAAACACATTTTGTCCACTCTTTACAACAGCGTGGCTGCACAGGTGCAGGACTTGAAAACACACTATACTGTGTCATACTGTAGGTGAGGACTACATGCCTATCTGCTAGATGACCTGAGAAAAACAAAAAAAACAACTGCTATAAAGACTGCCCTTTACTTAAAGTCGTAGGGAAATCAGATTTAAAAGTCAAATCATTCTGGCTTAAACATGTATATAAATGTATTCTTTATCAGACGATATTGTCCCAAGAAAAAAAAACCTTTCTAAAAATCTATGTTTTTTTTTTTCTTTGTTGTCTTATGCAGGCCAGTTAGTTATATGTCAGCTTGTATTCCTAAATTCAGCCAAACATATATATCAATGGTCATCTGTCAATCAAATTGTTTTGGTCATAGCATCTTGATTCATATGTCACAGCTAATATACACAACGGTTGAAAAAAGAATCATTATTTACTTTACCACTTAGTTCCATCCCCGTGTTTACGGGGATGGAAGTCTGTGTCTTCGGCAGGCGTAGAGCTAACAGAACTGGCAGCGTTGCGATGTGTTGTGCAAAATAATATTCTGCAGATAATGAATAAATTATTAACTAGAACTGGAGTTATAGTTAGTTATTTAACCTATTCAAAATCAAAAGTGAAATCAATTTAGTGTTCTTAGTTGAATAATTGTAGCTTTAATTTACTTACTTACCAGGGATTGTGGTTTCACCTCTGGAGGGTTCCTAGACCGGCTGTTAAAATCCAGGTATCCACCAATCTAGTGGCCCAGGCTAAGTTATCAGCAGAGCTATTAATTATCAATAAAGAACCTTTTATCTCTGTTTATTCACACTATTGCCAAACGGGGGTGAATCTGACCTGAGTGTTAAACTGTCCGCTATATGGAAACACAGAACTACTACAAGTTAAACAATGATGTCTTTATTCTAATATTTCAGGATTACAAATAATCTAACATCTATGCAAACACTACACACTATTAGAAAAATAAACACGAGATTTAATGACTAGTTAAAAGAAATCGAAATAAAGAATGAAAAAAAAGAAGAAACCCTAAGTCCGTTTAACTGGCTTCTGAGATTGTCCAAAATATGCCAAATGTGTTAGGTTTCTGTTTCTGTTATGTTTTTCTATTGCTCCTTGATTTCTAGTGTTTAGTTTTCTTTTCACCATGTTTCTTTATCCTAGTTATTTGATTATTTTGTTGTTGTTTTCTTATTAGTTCCTGTCTTCCAGGTTTTCCATTTGTTGTCCTCTGCTGCCCTCTTGTGCCCTCTTTCTCTTGCTCTGTTTTCTGTTCAGCCCTCACCTGTTTTCAATTCCCTCATTAGCCCTCTCCCTGTCTCTGTCCCCTTTAAAAGCCCTCCCTCTTCAGTTCCTGTTTGCTGGATCCTCGTCTAACCTCTGGTAAATCGTCTGTCTGCCTTCCTCGTCTCTTCCTGGTTCCTAGATTTTGGTTTTCCCCTGATGTCTCCTAGGTTCTGGTTCGTGAGTTATTTTTTGTTGGATTTTTTGATTCCTGCCTCAGTGCCTGTGAACCTCCTGCCTCATTGCCTGTGAACCTTATTAAACCACTTAAATTCACCTCTGCCAACTCGTCTGCATTTGGCTCCTCCAAACCAACACCGCTTTCTGACAAAATGTTAATACATTCACTAATGTCCGTTGGAATAGCAGCAGGTATGATGATAACAGTGCAATTAATCAACATAAAATTAATACTTTAGCTTAAAAATGGTAAATGATTAAAATGCATTAAACAAACAGCAGCAGAAGTCGTTTTAGCAAAACAGCATCAACACAGCAGTATGTGCATGTGGGGAAGGCATGTAAATGAATGAGGGACCTCCCTCTCCACATGTGGGAATTAATGCTGATTTTAATCTGTGTTGTAACCAACACAGATTAAAATCAGCATTAATTCAAATCCCTGAATCTACCTGTCTCTCTCGCCGAGCGCAGTACCTCATTAATGCATCAAAAGAAATTGATTTTCTGAGAGTTGCCTTCGGTCCGTGAAGGAGCAGGGGGGGTTCCGAGGGAGCACGTGGTCTTGCTCCGGCCATGCGGTTCTCCTTCAGCACCGGATCCGCTCTCGGGAAACTTCAGTCAGTCCAATGCTACAGCAGAGGGCTTGATGTGCTCTTAAGTCGAGGAAGATTGATTTTGTGGAGGTAATCGGCGGAAGGCATCCCTTCGGCCGATCCTTACGAAAAAGGGGAAAAAAAACACTCCACTCAGCAGTCAGCTGTCTCCC